TGTGTGTGGGTGTGTGTGTGTGTGTGTGTGTGTGTTCGGCCTCTGGGGGGCCTCGCCGGGCCGCGGGAGCGTGACGAAACGACGCAGGGCGACAAATCAAGGGCTCCCACGAGGGCGCGAAGTTATTCGCGAATCGCGGTTCCTCGTTCCTTCTCCCCCTCCTCCTCGCCCTCCTTTTCTCTCCCTTTTGGGGGGCGGCGCGAGAGCGCGAAGTTGTTCGCGCTTCGCGCAGCGCGAAGCGCGAAGTTAGGAGCCCTTGACGAGTCAGGGCGAAAAATCGGCCCTGGGAAGTGGTCGGGACCTCCGGGCCCCACGCGTTGAAAAAACATTGGAGCAGCCGGATAGCAGTGGCGAAGCGTCCTGGCTAGCCTATAGCACTACCGAGCAATGTTCTAATAACATGTTGTGGTTTCCACGAAATGTTCTTAGAACATTTCTTCTTGATATTGTTTTGTCTCAACACATCGGGTTTATGTTCTAAGAGCATTGCTTCTGTTCTTAGCACATGTTGGGGTTCTAAGAACCCTTCGGGGTAGGACTACAGGAATGCCGGGACGGTCGGTCCCTGCTCAAAGCAGAGCCAGGGTTGCACTGCTCCAGGCTAGCGCGCGGAATCCTGCAGCGTCCGACGGGCCCAGGACTGCATTGACCTGGATCCGTGCAGGGCAGGGGCAACGATCCCAGACCCCCTCGGGCAGTGAGCAAAATCATGACGAGAGGTGTTTCCATATTTTCGGCCTCTGTCGGGGGAGCGTAAGACCCGGGTTTGCCGGGACTCGGGTTTGCCATCGTTTTTTGACGACCGCGCCTCGGATTTTGACGAGGAGGAGTTTCGTGGGATGTCTGCAGCGGGAGGCCTCGTCAAAATGCAGGCTCGGCCTCGTCATTTTTTTGACGACCTCGTCGGGGATTTCCGAGTCCCCTGTACCCAGGTCTTACGTCCCCCTGACTCTGGAGGCCCTTACCGGGCCTGGGGACCGTCAAAAACGACTCGGGATGGGAAACAGGTCCCGGGGAAGGGTCGAGACCTCTGAGGGTCGACGTCATGAGAAAATCGTGACGTCGGGGTCTTTGATAGGGGGGGGGACAGGCATAGAGGGGGATACATCGACCCCCAATCGTCCATCGATCGCCGATAGGGGGCCCAATAGCCCCAACCTGCCCAGGAAGGTGTGGATGCACTGTCGGGGGGTCCAACGCCGATCTATCGGCGATGTATTATCGCCGATGCCAGGTCGATGCTTCCCCCCCTGTGCCAGTCCCACCCCCGATCCCTTATCGCTGCCCTTCACTGCGTTGACCTGGGTCAGTACCCATCGGCCGTTCAAACTAGGTATTTCTGGATTCCCAGGTTCCATTCACTTCAAGGATCGATTGATTTCCTTCTTCCCTCATCTTCAGGGGGCGGGCGGAAGCCCAATCTGCTTCCAACGCCTTCCTACTTCATGCTTCTACCTTTAAGTCGGGCCTGCCCCTCTACAGGGGGAGCATTCAAAAATAGTAAAAACATTGTCCGGGGACTTTTTTTTTGAGCATGTTTTGGCCATCTTGGATTCTTCTTTGCGTATTTGTTATGTTTTGTCGAAAACCCGCCTGCAGGGGGACAGGCCCGACTTCATGCTACCTGCTTCTTCCGACCGAGGGGTCCCGGCCTCCGAGGGCGGCCCGAGGATATCTCCGGGCGGGGGCGCCCTCGCCTGGGCTCTCGCGCGGGACCGCGGGGCCCCGGGCGCGGAGCGGCACGGGGTGAGGAGAGCGTGGGGTGCGGCAGTTTCTGCGCTCTGGTCCGCTGGGGGCAGCCCGCACCTCCTCCTCTCCCTCCTCCTCCTCCTCCTCCTCCTCCCCCTCCTCCTCCCCCTCCTCCTCCTGCCCCTCCTCCTCCTCCTCCTCCTCCTCCTCCTCCTCCTCCTCTTCCTCCTTCTCCTCTGGGTCCCGAGAGAGGGTGTGGCCGTCTCTGCGCTCTGGTCCGCGGCGGCGAGCCTCGGGCGGGAGAGGGGGGCGCGAGACGGGGGTCCACAGAGGAAGCGCCCCTTTCGCCCCCCCCCGACCCTAGATTGGCTTTCTTAGCGGCCTCTGCGTTTGCTGAGCAGTCCTGGCCCGGTCGATTGCTTCCTCGGGTGCCTTTCCAAGAGGGCTCCGCTTGAAGATGGCTTTCTCAGGTATGCGCTGGCTCTCTTAGCAGCGCTGCCTTCTCTGAGAGTCGTGGGGCCTTCTCGAAAGGCCCGTCCCTACTGACCGTGGAACAATAAAGTGCAGGAAGGACGAGCAAATGTGAAGAAAAGACACGGGTGATATGGAAGATCGCCGATGGTTCTTTTGCACTCGCGCTGCGAGTGGACGTAGCTCAATATGATCAAGGGCCCTGTGAGCCAAAGGTCCGCGGGAGGTTCGGGCTAGGAAAGGCACTGGCACGCGCAGCGGGCCAGACAGAAAGCAGACGCGGAAGCTGGCGGAATAGACTGGACTCACAACGCTGCCATCGGGCTTGGTGGAAAGATCGCACGGTCGTTACAGAAGTAATTCGGCGCAGCTGGGGTTCTCGACCACCCCCTTTCCTTTTCTGCCGGGCTCACCAGAGCCCGAGCAAAGGAACCGACCCGCTGGAGGCCCCGAAGCAGAGGACTGACTCCAGTCAGTTGTGCCTCCGTTTTCGCCTCCCCCCCACCCCCGCACATACAGTCAACGCGCATAGTAAGTACGCGCGCCTTTTCTAGGGTACCCCTGTGTCCTTGCTTCTGCGGCCCGTCCTTTGCCGCTTCCATTGGGGTTTTGGCCGCCCGCCGCCCCACAAATCCCGATTTCGGCCTCCCAGGGTCTTGCGTCCCTACCGCCCGTCCTGAGTCTACGTTTTCACTGTGTGTCTTCTCCTCCAGGCGTCTGGCCCAGACCCCGGACGTCCTTCGTCACGAACGAAAAGGGGAGACGGCGGGCCCTTCTCAGGTCGCCCTCGGAGGCCCACGTCGGGCTCTGCGAGCCCTTCGGCCGCACGACCTGGGCTGGGGCGAAGAGCGGCTCGCGAAGGGGGGCTCGGGGTGGTCCCGGGGGGCTGCGTCGGGAAAACGAGCACGGTGTCTGAAGTTCGCGGGAGGGACCGGGTGGAGGTCTTCGGGGGCACGGTGCATGCGCCTCAGACGCCGTGCTTCTGTCAGCACGTGGCCCCCGCACCTCTCGGCCCCTCCTCGGGGACTGGCTCTTCATGTGGAGGTGCTCCTTGGTGACGCCTCCGGAGGCAGAGCAGTACAAACACGGGTGGATTGCTTTCCTTTTGTTCGAAGCGTTGGGAGGTCTGGGCCCTTCTCCTCTGTCAGCCCTCCTCGTTGCTGCTCCTCCCCCTCCCCACTCACTATCGTCCTTCCTCCTCCCTCCTCCTCATGCACCCCTTCCTCCTCCTCGTGCTCCTCTCTTGGCCTCCTCCCTCGTCCTCCTGTTGGTCCCCTTCCGCCCTCAGCCCTCCTCAGCCCTTCTCATTATTCAATTGCTTCGCTCACTCCGCCGGCCCGTATTGCATGATCGCTACTGCTTCGGCGCGGGCTCGGGGCCATTTCGGCGCCGCCGGAAGGAGGAAGATGAGGATGGGGAGGGGGAGGGGAGGAGGAGAAGAGGATGAGAAGGAACGGAGGAGGATGAAGATAAATATGAGGAGGAGGAGGAGGAAAGGGCGGAGGAGGAAGCCTCTCGATGGCATCTTGCGGCACTCTTGGGGCCAAACAGGGCCGTCGTCCAGATGCGTCTTTGGGAGGCCCTGGGGTCTGTTGAGAGGCCGTTCGGGGGCGCCTGGGAGACATTTTTGAAGCCTTGTAGGGCCTCTTTTGAGCCTCCTTGGAGCCTCCTGGGGTCTCTTGGGGGCCTCTCGGCGGCATCTTGGGCCATGTCGGGGGCCTCTCGGGGCCTCCTGGGGCCCTGTTGGGGCGGAAGACTTGAGGTTTTGGTTCGTGGTCCCCATCTTGGGCCCCTCTTGGGGCCGTCTTGGGGCTCTCTTGGGCCGCCTTGGGCGTCTCTTGGGCCGTCTCGGGGCCCGTTTGGGCTCTCTGGGGGCCTTCTTGGGGGCCTCTCGAGCCGTCTTCGTGCGCTCTTGGGGGCCTCTTGGGCCGTCTTGGAGCATCGGAAAGCCGAAAATGCGACAAGGCCAAACTCCTTCCAAAACCATGGTAAAATGTATGGTGTTGGCCTCTCGGGGCGCTCTTGTGAGGCCTCTTGGATGCCACTTGGAGCGTCTTGGCGGCTTCTTGGGCCGTCTTGGGATCATCTTCGGCGTCTTGGAGCGTCCTTTGGGCGTCTCGGGGGCCTCTTGGGCAGTCTTGGGGCCCTCTTGGCGCGGTTCCGCCCTCAGCCCTCCTCAGCCCTTCTCATTATTCTTCCCTCCGTCGACCTTCTCGCTCTACCGTTTCCCTCTGTCACCTCGCCTCCAGAACGGTGCCCGTGATGGGAAACAGGCCACGTCGGGATGGGGCCGAGAGTTTTGGGACCAACACTTTGGACAACCGCGCCGTCGGAGGCTAAACATGGGGTGTGTGAGAAGGAGGAGGTGGCAGAGGAGGAGAGATGCGAGGCGAAGGAGGAGGAGGAGGAAGATGAGGAGGAGGCGGCAGAGGAGGAGAAGAGGGACGACGAGGAGGAGCAGGAGGGGGAGCGGGGAAGAGGAGGACTATTAGGAGAACGCCTGCACAGCTGGCGGGCTCCTGTGCGGCCGAGGCGGCGCGGGATGTGCACCATAATCAGGCGGCGGGAGTGAGGCAGCAGCCCCGGCAGAAGTTTACACGCGGTGCCCTGCCGAGCTTGTAGGGGGCAGCAAGGCAAAGAGGGGGGTGATGATTGTGTGTGTGTGTGGGAATCATGGCGAGGGCCACGATGCCTCCCCAGATCTCATGGCGCCTCTTCTGATCTCATTACGTCCCTGGCCACCCCCCTGGGCCGCGCACATGCCGCCGGCCATGATTTGCGCCCCCCCCCTTGGACGCCCCCCTTTTGGCCGCCCCCGAGCTTGCGGTGTCGGCGCGGGTCCAGCGTTTGGCTCGAGTCTGGTGCAGGAGCCGCCGCGCCGGTCGCCCTCGAGAGACCATGCTGCGCCTCCTTCCGCCGCGCGCTCGGGCAGCCGTGCGCACCGGGTGGCGCGGCTTCAGCGCCCTGCCCCTCCGCACACAGCTCTTCATCAACAACGAGTGGGTCGACGCCAAGTCCGGCAAGACCTTCGACACCATCAACCCGGTGGACGAGACGAAGATAGCGACGGTGCAGGAGGCCGGGAAGGAGGATGTGGACATCGCCGTCGCGGCAGCCCAGGCGGCGTTCAAGACGTGGAGGAACATAGACGCATCCAAGCGTCGCGACATGATGCTGAGGCTGGCTGACCTGATCGAGAAGCACCGGACGAGACTGGCTGAGGTGGAATCCCTCGACAATGGCAAGCCTGTCCACGTGGCCCACGACGTTGACCTTACTTTCGTCATCGAATGCTTTCGGTACTATGCTGGCTGGGCCGATAAGGTCGGCCAGAGTGGCAAGGTCATCACTCCGACCATGGGCACCAGCGGCACCTTCGCATACACGTGGCACCAGCCGATCGGCGTGTGCGGCCAGATCATTCCCTGGAACTTCCCGCTGGTGATGCAGGCCTGGAAGCTCGGCCCCCTGCTGGCCATGGGCTGCACCACGGTGATGAAGCTCAGCGAGAAGACCCCGCTGTCGGGCCTGCTCATCTGCGACCTGATCAAGGAGGCCGGGTTCCCACCTGGCGTCGTCAACGTTGTGAACGGCCACGGCCCCACGACCGGCGACGCCATCGCGAGGCACCCCGACATCCGCAAGGTGGCATTCACGGGCAGCTCCGCTGTGGGGCACAAGATCGTCGAGGCGGCGGGTCAGACCAACCTGAAGAAGGTGACGCTGGAGCTGGGCGGGAAGAGCCCGATGATCATCTGCAAGGACGCAGATCTGGACCAGGCCGCGGCGGCCTGCCACATCGGCCTGTTCGTCAACATGGGCCAGTGCTGCTGCGCCTCCAGCAGGATCTACATTCACGAGGACATCCACGACGAGTTCGTCGCCAAGCTCGTGAGGCTGGCCAGCCGGTTGCGGACGCAGGGCGACGTGACGTCGGACACCGACATTCCCATTTGCGACTTGGGCCCCCAGGTGGACAAGATCCAGTTCGAGAGGGTGCTGGATTACATCGAGGCCGGCAAGAAGGAGGGCGCCAACGTGGCCTTGGGCGGCGGCCGCCTCGGCACGAAGGGGTACTACGTGCAGCCCACCGTCTTCACCGAGGTGAAGGACGACATGAAGATCGCCAAGGAAGAGATCTTCGGGCCGGTGATGCAGCTCTTAAAGTTCAAGACTCTCGAGGAGGCCATTCAGAGGTCCAACGCCACCCACTTCGGCCTCGCCGCGGGGATCTGCACCCGCGACATCGGCACGGCGCTGGCGGCGGCCAAGGATCGCGATGCCCTGGCATGCACGTCGCACGCGTGTCATCACGTGTGCAAATGCGCGCGTTAATTCCCCAATCAGTGCTTGCACTGAAGGGGTCCTGGCGGATATTGAAAGATTATGCGACAGTTCGGGGTCGATTTCGGTAGGCGGCCGGGTTCCACGGTTCCCGGTTCCGGGTTCCGGCCCGATGCGTCCTGGTGGCCCCGAAGTCGCGTTTGGCGCTACTCACGGCGGCACGCAGCGCCGGCGCGCCGGCGGCAACCAAGGCTGGCGGGGCCGTGCAACGGGGGCCGGCGGCTGTGGCCGGTGTTGGCGGCAGCCAGGCCCAGGGAGGTCGGGCAGAGGTTGGCGAGGGTCAGCGGCAGTGCCGGCGGTGGGGCGTCCGGGGACGTCTGCTCGCAGGCGGTGCTTCTCCCCCTGCCCCCCGATGTTGTCGACGAAGAAGGAGGCCGCTCGGAAAGGGAGGGGGACCCTCGGTGTGCACCCCATGGGGGGCTCTTCGGACGCACCCCACATCGAGGCTGGACGCCCCCCACCCCCCCCCCGGTGTATCCCAGGGCCAGGCCCCAGGTGGTTGTGCCGCTCGCAGGCCCCACGAAGCCTGGGGTGGAGGTCGGCGTATCACCTGCTGTCTGCCGGAGGGCCAGGATCGGGTTGACCCAAAAGGGGGTCCAGCGACAAGGGGGTGGCGCAATAGATTTGGTGCAACAGGTTTGGCTGCACTACATGTGGGGCGTGCAGTACATCCCAGGGCGCCAATTCTGTGTTGCTGGACTCTCGCGTGCAATACATTCGTTGCAACACGATGCCATGACACTCTCTGGCGCAATACGTCTGCAACACAATTGCCCCAAATCTATTGCACCACCCCCTTACAGCTGGACCCCCTTTTGGTCAGGAGGGGAGAAACACACAGACATAATTCATCGTCGATCCCCAGGAAAAGATGGGAAACTATGGGAAGTGGGGGGGAAGACGAAGACCCAGAAAAGATGTGAGAGGATTGGACATCCTTTTGTCTATTGTGTGCATTTCTCTGTGTGTCCCAGGGCCCCCTCATTGAAGCCACCCAGACAGGAGAGCACTGCCAGCGGCGGGGGGGCGGGCGGCGGCCGGGCCCCTCGTGCGCCCGCGCGCCCCCCCCGCCCGCCCTACAGAGGCGGCCTGCGCGCCCCCGAGGCGGCTGCTCCTATTGGGGCGCTCCCCGGCGCTCCCCGGCAGCCCCACGCGCACGCCCTGGCCTTGTAGGTCGGGCCCGTCCCTCTGTGCAGGAGGAAAAGTCAAACAAATAGCTCAGGAAGTAGTCTGGGGGGACGATCTGTGGACTATTTGTGCATACTTTTCGGCGTTGTGGGGGCCTTTTTCTTAATCCTTCGTCCAGAATCCGCCTGCAGGGGGGCATGCCCGACCTAACCCTGGTCCGGGCCCTCTCGCCTTCCCCTCCGCGTCGGGCTTGTTCCTTCCCCTTCCCTCCTCGCCCCTTCCCTCCTCGCCCCTCCGCGCCCCTGGCCCTCCTCCTCGCCCCCTCCGCGCCCCTGGCCCTCCTGGCCCCCCTCCCCTCCGTCGCCGCCCCGTTACTCCTTCCCCTCCCCCTCTCCGCCCCGTCCGCCCTGTCTGCCTCGAGGGAGAAAGTCACGGCACGAACAGAACTTTTGGCGCTCCGCGCGGACTTCTTGGATCCCCGCGGGCACCCCCCCCGGCGGCACCGCCTCTGGCGCCGCCCTTGGCGCGCTTCGCGCGCCATCGAGGGTCCAGCGCAGATCCCAGAAGTCCGCGCACGGAGCGTTTGCCGTTTCGTGGTTCTTGTTGTCGTCGCCCCCCTCCCCTCCGTCCGCCATGTCTGTCTCGGCTCAGGGCACAGGCGCGAGTGCAGTGTGTGCTGTTGCTTCCCGGGGAGCTGTGTTGCATCACTCGGGTTGGGTCCCGGGAGCTGCGCCGCACAGGTTGCACTCCGAGCGTGCAAGAGGCCGTGGCTTACACCACGCAGACTTGCACATCGAGGGGGAATCACCCACTGCTGTGGGTCCACGCTGGCAAAAACATGCACATGCCTATGTTTGTTGAGTGCACCTGTGTTCAAGCATACGTCTAGACGTGTAAGCCAGCGTGGTCCCCAGAGAAAGAGTCATCGTGGCTACAGTGTGGGGTAAGCTATTGGGTGTCAGCCGTGCCGTGGGATGTGTGCGGTGTGTGAGCCAGGCACGCGCCATAGGCCACGTGGTGCACAGCGGCCTGCGTCGTGCAAGCCGGGGGGGGGGGGGGCAGGCTCTGCAGTGCCGGCCATGGGGTGCAAGCTGCGCGGTATGTAAGCACAGCGCACGGGGCACCCTCCGGGCGCCCACGACGCGGCACGCGGCGCAACCTCGGCCGGCCCGCCCCGCGCACGGGGGCGCCCACCAGGCGCGCCCCACGCGCGGGCGCACCGCGCCCATGCGGTGAGCCATCGGCGGACCCACCCGAGGCACGGGGGCGACCCAGGGGCGCCCACGAGGCGGCACGGGCGCCAGCGTGGACCAGTCTCCGCGGACCCGCCTCGATCCTTTCACCGACTGGGGCGTTACTGACTCAGACGTGATCGCGTGGCTCAAAAATCAGGACTGGAGGTTTATCGCCATTTTCGGACTCGGGGGGCCCTTGCCGGGCCCCGGGACCGTCAGAACACGACTCAGGATGAACAACCGGTCCCGGAGAACGGGTCGGGATTTCCAGGGACCCCGTATGGAAAAATTCAGGACGTCGCATGCTTGGGAAGGGCAGTCAGCAAGGACAGCGATAGCCCCTCATGCAAGCACCGTTTGCGGAATCACCTCATCATTGACTTCTCGTCTGGCCCAGCCATGGTCTGTTTGAGAGGCCCTCTGCCCAGCAGAGTGGGCTGATGTTCGGATGACCTGTTCCTCCTTACGGTAGGTTCGTGTCGTGTCGACCCGCGGCGACCCCGCCGTCGGAGTTCAACGTTGGACGCTGCCGGCGACCCGGAATCGGTCGACGTAGAACGATCTGACGTTTCGGGAATTGCAGATCGTTCAAGATTGAACGGTCCCCGCGTTGTCAGGAACCAGCGCTGGGGTCGATACGACACGAGTCCGCGCTATTCTCCCTCCACCTCCTTCTCCTCTCGAGGACCTCGAGGCCGGCACGGTATGGATCAATTGCTACGACAATTTCGATATGGCGGTCCCCTTCGGCGGGTACAAGACCAGCGGGTGGGGCCGGGAGAAGGCCATGGCATGGTGCACACAAATCGATGGGCAATGAGGAAGGAGGAGGCGGAGCAGGAAGAAGGTGGAGGACGAGGGAGGAGGAGGAGGTGTAGAGGGAGGAGGACGAGGAGGGGTCGGAGGAGGAGAAGCAGAGGAGGAGGAGGAGCCGAGGAGGAGGAGGAGAGGAGGAGGAGGAGGAGGAGTAGGAGAAGGAGGAGGAGGAATACAGGATATAGACAGCGGATGATGGTGGTGATGCTGATGCTGATGCTGGTGATGCTGATGCTGATGCTGATGCTGATGATGATGATGATGATGATGATGATGATGATGATGATGATGATGATGATGATGATGATGATGTGTTTGATGATGATGATGCTGCTGATGACGATGACGATAATGACGATGATGGTGATGATGAGGCTGATGATAATGATGATGATGACGATAATGATAATGATGGTGATACTGATGAATGTGATGTTGACGATGATAATGATTGTGTTGGTGGTAATGAAGTGGGTGATACGTATGATGACGAAGGTGGTGATGGTGATGATGATGCTGCTGATGATAATGATGGCAATGGTGAGGATGCTGAGGATGATGAAGATGAGGATGATGATGATGAGGAGGAGGAGGAGGAGGATCAGCAGGCAATGAGGCTGGTGGTGGTGATGAGGATGACACTGAGGAGGATGAGGATGAAGATAACCATGACGATGAGGATGATGCTGCTGATGATGATTGTGGTTGTTGTGATGATGATGATGACGACGGTGAGGATGATGATGATGTTGACGAGAATAATGAGGATGATGATGTTGATGATGCTGTTGATGTTGATGATGGTGATCATGATTATGATGGTGATGAAGATGCTGGTGGTTGTGGTGATGATGAAGATGCTGATGCTGCTGATTATGATGTTTCTGATGCTGATGCTGACAATGCTGATGATGATGATGATGGTGGTGGTGGTGATGCTGATGATACTGATGATGCTGTTGGTGATGATGATGCTGCGGATGCTGATGATGGTGGTGGTTGTTTTGATGATGATGCTGGTGGTGGTGATGGGGATGACGAGAATGATGAGGATGATGGTGATGATGTTGCTGATGATGATGATGCTGATGATGATTATGATACGTGTGGTGAAGGATATGATGGTGGTGGTGAATATGATGGTGGTTGTGGTGATGCTGAAGATGCTGATGCTGCTGATGATGATGGTTCTGATGCTGATGTTGACAACGTTGGTGATGACGACGATGATGCTGATGATGACGATGGTGTTGTTGTGGATGATGATGATGAAGATGATGATGATGATGATGCTGATGATGATGATGCTGATGATGATGATGATTCTGGTGGTGGTGATGCTGATGATGTTGATGACGATGATTAGGATGCTGATGATGCTGATGACGCTGGTGATGGTGATGATGATGCTGATGCTGATGATGCTGATGATGATGATGACGATGATGATGATGATGCTGACGATGCTGATGATGCTGATGATGATGCTGATGCTGATGCTGATGCTGATAATGCTGATGCTGATGATGCTGATGCTGATGCTGCTGCTGTTGATGATGATTATGATGATATGATGAGATTGATGATGATGATCATGATGATGATGATGATGATGATGATGATGATGATGATGATGATGATGGTGGTGGTGATGCTGATGATGTTGATGACGATGATTAGGATGCTGATGATGCTGATGATGCTGATGATGGTGGTGGTGATGATGATGATGATGATGATGATGATGATGATGATGATGATGATGATGATGATGATGATAAGGAGGAGGTTGGAGGAGGATGATGATGAGGAGGAGGAGAGGAGAGGAGGAAGAGAAGGAGAGGGAGGGGCAGGGGGGAGGAGGAGGAGGAGGACGAGGAGGACGAGGAGGAGAAAGAGGAGGAGAAAGAGGAGGACATGAATGCGAACGAGATGGTAGAGGAGGAGTTGAACGAGAACCACTCCTCCTCTCTTTTCCCAGCGGGCGGGCGCCCTGCAGCGCAGAGCGGGGGAGGCGACGCAGCGGTGGGAGCGCGGGCGAGTGGGAGGCGGCACGCCGTCGGGACACGGTCGGAAAGACGAGGGCCGGAGCGGCGGGACGAGGGCGGCCCCGCTCAGGGCGAGTACGCGCTCGAGAACTACACGGAGGTGAAGTGCGTCATGATGCCGATGGACTCGAAGAACTGAGGCCTCCTCATCCTCCTCCTCCCTCCTCCTCCCTCCTCCTCCTCCTCCTCCTCCAGCTCCGAGGAGGAACAAGGGCACTCTGTAGTGACCGCCGCCCGGTCTCAGGGCCCCTCAGGGCCCCTCAGGGCACCTCCCCTGCTCTGTTTTCCCCCCTCAGGGCCTCCTGGGAGGAGGCCCTCGTCGCCACCGCCGCGTTCGCCGCAGGAGTCTGGTCAGAGCGCGCCCCAGGAGAGGTCCGGGAGTGGCGGCATCGGTGCCTTGTGGTTTCCCCATCCGCGCGCCTGGCACGCCCCCCAGGCGGCCTGGCGTCATGATGCCGATGGACTCGGAAGAACTCGGTTTTTAGCATCCGCGTGCCCGGCACGATCCCCGGCGGCCTGGCGTCATGCTGCCGACGGACTCGAAGGGCTGAATTTTTAACACCTGCTCGGCGGCGAGCGAGGGGGTGAAGGGAGAAGGAGAAGACCTTTACAGAAGGCGGCGGGGCTTCTCAGACGGCTTCCGGCCTTCTGAGAGGTGTTCTGCGTCTTCGGGGAAGGCTTAGGACAACTTCTCAGAAGGCCGGGGAACTTCCGAGCCTTCCCAGAAGGCCTTCTCCTTCTCTTTTCCCCCCCCCCCTCGCTCGCCGCCGATGAACATTCGAAGAACTAAGTTTTTAAGATCTGCGCGCTTGGCACGTCCTCTGGCGGGCTGCGTCGTCGGCGCCAGACCCCCCAGACCTCCGACGCCGTGATCGCCCAAGCGCCAGAGAGGCGCAGCCAAGGAGAGATCTGCCTGCCAGCGGGTGCCCCACGGAGATGTTTCTCATTGCCTAGGGCCCTCGGGGGCTCGAGTGGAGTCTTGGGGCGCCCTGGGAAGTTCAAACGTTGGCGACACGTGCCCAGATTTCGTACGTCAAAGGATCCACGTGCGCTGCCGCGCGATCCGACACCGCGCTCGGGCGGACGACCGGGGGCGGGGGAGGATGCCGAGGGGGAGGCGGGGCACCTTGGGGACACGACCTCGCCGAGAGTAGGAACGGATTCTGCTGACGCGTGGCGGACACCGCCCGCTGGGACTCGCTTGGCTGCAGGAGGAGTAGGATGAGGATGAGGAGATGAAGGACGAGGAGGGAGAGGGAGAAGGAGAATGAGAGGGAGAGGGAGAAGGAGAGGTAGGAGGAGGAGGTAGAGGAGGAGGAGGAGGTAGAAGAGGAGGAGGAGGAAGAGGAGGAGGGTCATCGGAGTGATTGCTCGCTGGAGGATGGGGTGCTGCGGGGGGCTGAGCATACACACATATATATATATACATATATATACATAATATATATATATATATATATATGACAGAGCGTGTTCTACCGCTGCTGGCGGAAACCCGGGGGGGGTCACTGTGGGTTCCCAGAACCCGTCCATCATGAAAATTGGGGGGTCACTACCGGTTCGACCCCCCCCCCACACACCTCGGTCACTACCGGTTCGACCCCCCCCCCGTCGGTGGCCGCAGACGATTGTTGCTCCCCGGGACAGTTGGCCAGTGGTAGGGGTACTGGGACAGTGGTGGTGGGAACGGTGGTGGTGGGGACTGCGGTGCGGGGACAGTAGGGCAGTGGTGCGGGCAGTGGTGGGGGACGGTGATGGTGGGGACAGTGGTGAGGGGACAGCGAGGTGGGGACAGTGGGACAGTTGTGGGGACGGTAGTGGTGGGGACAGTGGTGATCAAGGCGGTGGTGTGGACGGTGGTGGGACAGTAGTACAGTTGGGAGAGAGGCGGGGACAATGGGGACAGTGGGACAGTGGTGGGGAGTGGGGACAGTGGGACAGCACAGTGGGACAGCGGCGGGGACAGTGGAGACAGTGGGACAGTGGTAGGAACAGTGGGAACAGTGGGACATTGGTGGGGACCGTGGGGAAAGTGGGGAGAGCGGGACCGTGGTGGGACAATGGTGAGGAGAGTGGGGACAGTGAGACACTGGTGGGGGCACTGGTGGGGACAGCGGGGACAAGGGCGGGAACAGTGGGGGCAGTGGGACAGTGGTGGGGACGGTGATGTTGGAGACAGTGATAGTGGTGTGGGGACAGTGGGAATGTGGTGGGGACAGTGGGACAGTGGTGGGGACAGTGGTGGTTAGGACACTGGTGAGGGCGGTGGCGAGGACGGTGGTGGGACAATGGGACAGAGGTACAGTGGGGACACTGGTGCGGACAGTGGGGACAGTGGTGGGAACAGTGGGACAGCTCACTGGGACAGCGGCGGGGACAGTGAGACAGTGGGGGCAGTGGGACAGTACGTGGTTGGGACCGTGGGGAAAGTGGGGAGAGTGGGACCGTGCTGGGAACAGTGGTGGGGACAGCTGTGGGGACAGTGCGACAGTGGTGGGGGCACTGGTGGGGACAGTGGGGACGTTGGTTGGAACAGCGGGGACAGTGGTGGTGAGGACAGTGGTGCTGGGGTCAGCAGCGGGGGATGTGATGCGCACGGTGGTGGGGACCCGGGAGTCGTTTGCCGCCTGTGTGTGTGTGCGGGGGGACCGGTAGTGACCCCCCCCGGTTTTCTGAAGGGGGGGGGTCCAAACGATAGTGACCCCCCCCGGTTTTGTAAAAGGGGGGGTCGAACCAGTAGTGACCCCCCCCCCCGTTTTTTGGAGGGAGGGGGGGACGGGTTCGAATTGGTAGTGACCCCCCTTGGTTTTCCGGAGGGGCGGGGGAGTTGTTCGAACGGGTAGTGACCCCCTCCCGGTTTTTTGGAAGGGGGGTGGGGGGGGAAGGGGGGGGTTAGGGGGGGTGGGGGGGGGGGGGGGCTGTGCCGGGGGGGAGGGGGGAGAGGTTTCGGAGGGGGGGACCTTCGGGTTCCCGATGAAGAGACGAGAGAATTTTCCACAGTAAAGCGGCGGTGGATCGCGCTGTCTGGTTCTTATATATATATATATGTATATACGTATTCACTGCTCCATGGCCAGGTCCATCCTGAACTCAGGAGCTGTGCATACGCCCTCCCGGCCAAGCCATGCGGTCGTGGCGTATGCACCGCTGCTGGGTTCGAGATGGGCCCGGCCAGGGCGCAGTGGATATGTATAGATTTCGTCGCCCTAGCTGATTACGTACACGCCCTTTGGGCGTCGCGGCCCTGCGCGCGGCGACGGCGTAGAAGGTTGGAAAACAGTGAGTCACGCGCGTCGATGCCTGGCCGAGACTTCGGAGATCATTTAGGGCTTCGCAGCCGCCAGCAGCCATCACCGTCCGAATTCACGCACACACACACACACACTCATTTTTTGACGTCGCGTCCCCGCACACGGCGACGAGGCGTAGAACAGTCGAGTGCAGGCAGCGGTAAGCGCGCGTCTACGCCCGGCTGAGCTCTCAGAGACCACCTGAAGTCTGGCAGCCGACAGCGGCCAAAACCGTCTGGGCATGGACGGCGGGGAGGGGCAATGGGCGGACGAAACTACGGTGATGGCGTACCACACACGCACACACGCACACACACACACACACACACACACACACACACACGCACGCACGCACGCACGCACGCGCGCGCACGCACGCACGCACGCACGCACGCACGCGCGCACGCACGCACGCACGCACGCACGCACGCACACACATACACACACGCACACACACGCACACACACACACACACGCACACACACACATACACACATACATACATACATACATACATACATACATACATACATACATACATACATACATACATACATACATACATACATACATACATAAATACACAAACGCACGCACCTATGCACACACACGCGCACACACACGCATGCACTCACGCACGCAACGCACAGACCCAGCCCGATCGGGACCTTCCCCGGGGGGCGCGCCGGCTCGGAGCAGAGACGTCCTCCAGAGGAGAGCGAGGTAGCGGCAGTGAGCCCTCGGAGGGCCCCCTCGTGATCACGGCTGGACGCAGCTCGGAACATCTGGTGCCTCTGGGCCCCAGGAGCTTGCCATCGCTCGGGCGTGTGCATTCTTCCTCCGGCGAGGACCATCGAGGGACATCCTGGATCATTTGGCGAGAAAGCCACGCACGAAGCCGAACAACAAGCACAGGGAATGGACGTCCGAGCGATGGCCAGGGAGGGGTCCGGACACGGATATTGAACTGCCATTGTCTCAAGCTGAGATGTCCCTTTTCAACTTAACTAAGATGTAGATGATCAAGTTACCTTGAGGATGACTTAGGCAACTTGTATGTCCATCCAGATATGTAGCTTCAAGTCCACTTGAGCTAAATGTATATCTTCCATCAGTTCCATAAGTTCCGCCGCCCTCTTTCCATACCAGGTGAAAAATATGTAAACCATGAAAACAATATCCCGGCAAAGCAACCTAACAGCGATGTGTAGGAGCATATCTGGAAGCATTCCCCTTACGATTCAGATGATAATCCAGTTGTAGAATTCTGCTGTTCTCGCAGTCGTAGTCGCATTCGCGATGACAGTCGCAGTGGCAACGGCAGTCGCAGTCACAGCCTCAGCCTCAGCCTGCCTCAGCCTCAGCCTCAGCCTGCCTCAGCCTCAGCCTCAGCCTCAGCCTGCCTTCAGCCTCAGCCTCAGTCTGCCTTCAGCCTCGGCCTCAGCCTCAGCCTGCCTCAGCCTCAGCCTGCATCAGCCTCAGCCTCAGCCTGCCTCAGCATCAGCCTGCTTCAGCCTCAGCCTCAGCCTGCCTCAGCCTCAGCCTCAGTCTGCTTCAGCCTCAGCCTCAGTCTGCCTCAGCCTCAGCCTCAGCCTGCCTCAGCCTCAGCCTGCCTCGGCCGCAGCATCAGCCTGCCTCAGCATTCAAAATGTGGCCCAGGAATGGAGTTCTGGGAACTAGAAGAACACGAAGTGGCCTACAGTTGGCTCCGGGCATTCAAAATCATGCCCAGGAATGGAGTTCTGGGAAGTGGAAAAGCACGAAGTGGCCTACAGTTGGCTCCGGGCATCCAAAATGTGGCCCGGGAATGGAGTTCTGGGAGGTCGAAGAGCACGAAGTGGCCTACAGTTGGCTCCGGGCATCCAAAATGTGGCCCGGGAATGGAGTTCTGGCAACTAGAAGAACACGAAGTGGCTTACAGTTGGTTCCGGGCATACAAAATGTGGCCCGGGAATGGAGTTCTGGGAAGTGGAAAAGCACGAAGTGGCCTACAGTTGGCTCCAGGCATTCAGAATGTGGCCCGGGAATGGAGTTCTGGGAGGTCGAAGAGCACGAAGTGTGTGACTGTTTGCGAAAAACGCATTCGGACACGAGTTCGGACACAGCTCCCCGGGTCCCGCCCCGACCCCCCTGTGGAGTCATCTGATGCTCTCTTTTGACACCATTAGAAACCTATCAGCAAAAACAACGGCCATTCACAATTCAAGTTGTTCCTCTACATGTCACCCCTTTTTGTCATACCATGCGAAAAATATGGAAAACCATCCTCCTCCTCTTCCTCCTCCTTGACTTCCCCCTCCTTCCCTTCCCTTCCCTTCCTCCTCCTCCTCCTCCTCCTCCTCCTCCTCCTCCTCCTCCTCCTCCTCATTCCCCTCCTCCTTCCCTCCTCCTTCCCTCCCCCCTGCAGCGCCGCCGCCGGGCCAGGTGGCGTTCCTGCGGTTACTTCGGGTTGTCCTGGGGTGCGCCCTACCGCAACCAGGGCCTCGAGGCGAATCCAGCCGTGGCATTTGCCCTCGTGGTCCTGTTCCTCCTTCGCCTCCTCCCTCCATCCTCCTCCCCCCCCCTCCTCCACAAATGTCCTCTCGGTCCTGTCCCCTGTGTGTCTGCGTACTACTACTCATCCACGAATCCGAGCCGTGGCCCCCCCTGCTTCGGAGGCCCCCCCGTCTTCACCGCTGGACGCGGTTCGAGGAACTGGTACGCCCTACCGCAACCAGGGCTTCGCCTGACTCGTAGCCCCCTGTGCGTGTCATCCGCGGCACTCCCGCGTCGGCCCAGACCCGAACGCATATTCCGATCGCCCCGCCGCCTTTTAGGCTCAAGCGAATATGCAGTGAGGGCCGCCGTCCCAGATTTTTATTTCGTTCAGCGGCATATCCCGCTCAGCGGCGTTTTTGCTTCCATTGTTTCAAACGATGATGGCGATGTTGCCGAGTCTAGACATGGTTTGCTTCTCTCGAATTGGGTTGCATCAGACTCACAGTGATGAAGACTCACAGTGAAGCTCGATGCATGGATATGCGCAGTTGGGGAGTGGAGTTCGCTAAGGCAGATATCCTGCGGCTCAAAGAAGTGGAGGGCCCATGAAAATTGGAGGGCCCATTGCTCGTTGTGATGTCGAAGTTGTGGCCGCCTTCAAATTGCAGAGAGTACTTGCGGCGCTTGATCAGAGACTATGCTGGGAGATGGGCGGACAAGTCTGATGGACGTTACTTCCAGTCGGTATGCTTCGAGTCGGCATTGGGCCAATTGTCAAGGGGCAGGTCGACAGTGGTTTCAGTCACCCGCCGATCGGACCCTCTCATTACAGGGAGGTCTCCAGCTCTGGTTGCGCCAGTGCTCAACGTTCCAGGGTACGAACCGAAGGCCTGCAACCACCATCATGTTGCATTCCACCAGCTCCAAGGCGGACGGGAGCTCCAAGTGCGGGCGAACCACAGCGGGCCATTGGAACCGCTCGATTTCTTGACGCCAGAAGGGAAGTTCGATATTGTGGAATGCTGTGCGTCGGCGATCGCATTGGGCTTCAGAGTTGCATCCCTTGCCGGATGGGACGCAGCTTTTTTCGCACGGTTGCGCCCAGGGAGTCTGCGGGCTTCACTTCGAGAGCGTGGTTCCGCTGCTGCAGTGCAAGGCCCCGCATGGGCACCAGCCGACACTGCGCTCGCTGGCAGGCCATACGGGCACGTATGAAGATTTCGTCGATTACGCAGAGGAGCGCCAGATGGAGAAGATGCTGCGGTCTATGGGCGAGTACATCCACGAGATGAGCCTTGCAGATTTCCTAAGGGACTGGTCTCCTCGGCAAAGCCTCGAGCCGTACGTGAGTGTGAATGGTGCCGCCATGTTGTTTGTCGCAACCCCATATTCAGGGAGCGCATGAGCTTGGCGCGACGGTCAACCTGACCACTGTCAGTTGGTGCGGATCTGGCAAGGCAAGTATTGACCTTGAGGTGTTTACGTGTGTAGGTTGTCTCTTGATGAGGATGGCGCGAAGGCCCTCCGTGCTAAGCAGATGTCTGGCTCGGCTCGTGCGCTGCGCGTAGGATCTGGATTCGCTAGGACGCCGGTGAGTCTGAGCGGCAATGATTCTAGGTAGGTGGGCAACTCATAATTGTAAGCATGCGTCGAAGATACAAACATCAAAGAAATGTGCATCATCTTGTTGCCGCCAGGGGCTGAGGCGCCCCTGTTGCAGCCGCGCTAGGTTTTAAGCGATTAGGCGCTCACAGGCCCCGAGGCCATCCTCCGAACATCTCGGCCCCCAAACAGTCATGTCTGCGTTGAAGGGGGCGCCCGCGCGCCGATGCCAATCGCGGGCGGCCGTCCTGCCCCCCCCCCCCCCCCCCCCCCCCTTCCACCCCATCTCCTCCTGATATCCCCCCCCCCCCCCTCCCCCCCCCCCCCCCCCTCCCCCCCCCCCCCTCGGCCCCCCCATCCTCTATATGTCACTCCACTCTTTGGTTTTAGGTTTTCGGTTGGATCTTCAGCTGGCGTCTCAAGAAGCCCCACCGCGCGCGCGGCGCCGCACTCGCACCTCGGGCCTCGGGTGGAACAAGAAAGGCAGCGAACGGGCTATTTTTCCTCTGCGAGTTTTTCGCGGCCAGAAACTGTTGCATATCACTGCGCTGCAATATGCGTTATCCCATGCTCTTGTGCATGGTCCTCCGCCCCCCACTGAATGCTGGCAAAACTGCTCGCACAAAATTTTCAGTCTCTTATGGCCGAGCTTCGCTTGGCAAAATTCTCAGGCGCATCTCGCTCGGCGTAGGCGCATGTGGCCTATGCCTGCGCTGCTGGGCCCAGCACTGCGTCGGCGCTGGCGCTCAGTAGGTCCGCCCTGCATGGCGGCCCTGGCAGAAGAAGCCAGCCCTCCACCCCCAACCCGCAGCGCACGGCCCCTCGGGCACATGCTGCTCACCAGCGTCTAGATCATCGTCGCCTGCCCCCTCAACTCCTGCATCTGCTACTGCATCGACTGTTGCGCCGCGATGACTGCCTGCAAGCTGTCCTTGTGCTCATGCAGGGCCTTGAACTCCGACGTCTGCGTCTTCTCCTCCTCCTCCATGGTCTGGGGGCGCATGAGCTCCTCCACGCGCCTGTCGATCTCGTGTCGCAGCTTTGAGGCGAGAGACGCCAAGTCGTTCATGCCCTTCTTGATCTCGAAGATATTCGCCTGAATGCCCCCGATGCTCACCTTCATGCCCGCCGCGGTCTCCCAGAGCTGCGCCACCTCGGGTGCAAACGCGCGCAGATTCGCCGCGTCGTCGCCCCCCTCCGTCTGCTCTTCGGGACCTTTAGCTCCAACGCGCGCGATTCCATCTGCTGAGCCAGCAGCTCCGAGGCGTGCCACCGTAGCTCCAACATGCGCGACTCCATCTGCTGAACCAGCAGCTCCGTTTTGAACGGGCCCACTGCCAACTCCATCTTCTGCAGCGGCTCCACCTTCTGCCCCGGCAGCAGCTCCGCGTTGCACTGCTGCCTCCGCCGCCCTGGACCAAGCGGGCCCGCTGCCGCCGACGTCGGCACTGCCGGGGCTGCCCCTCCAATAACTCTCGTTGATCTCCCTCGACGCCCATTCAGCCGTCTGGTATTTTGGCTTTTGTCGGTGGCCTGCCTCATTGCACCCGAAACACCAGTACCGCGTTTTGTTCCTATGTTGAGACCTTTTCGAATGCTCTGGCGTCTGGAGCCACGCGTTGCACGGCGGGCACTTGCAGCGCCCCTCGATCATTTGAATGCATGGCGGGCCGACGCGCCTGCCGTTCACAATTATTGTTTCTGGCCGCTCCACCTGTCGGCGTGCCACGGCTGTGGCTGCCGCCCACGAATAGATGAACTCTCCGCGCGAATCGGCGCGATGTTCTGGATCTGGAGCCCAAACGGCTACGCGGCGACCTCCAAACTGCCACCCAGAAGACCCCGGAGGCCAACCACGAGACCCCAACCCGCGCACGACAGGCCTGAGGCCGAGAAAGCAGGCACGGTGGCGGGATGGGCCGAAGGCCAGTGGGATCCGCCGCCCCCTGCCTGCAGGGGTGCACGGCGTGCTGGATGATTCAGTTTTGGTTTTGGTTCTTTTTTCTAAAAGAACTCCCCAGTGGGCTTCGGCCCGCCCCGCCGGCCACCCGCGCGTTTCCCAAAATGCGTCTGTCAATGCCCAAAAACGGCCGCTTCGCTCGGGACATCCTCAAACAATCGCGAAGATGGCCCAAGATGGCCTCCAAGTCCGCCCGAGATGGTCCAAGACGGCCTCCAAAACGGCCCAAGAGAGTCCAAGACGGCCCAAGACGGCCCAAGAGGCCCCCCAGAGGCCTCCCAGACGGCCCAAGAGGCCTCCAAGAGGTCCTCCAGGAGAGTCCGAAGAGGCCAAAATCATTGATTTTCCTTTGGTTTTTGAAGGATTTTGGCATTTGCGCCTTTTCGGCTCTCCGACGGCTCAAGACGGCCCAAGAAGCCCCCAAGATCGCCCAAGAGGCCCCCAAGAGAACCCCATGATGGCCCAAGTGGCCTCCAAGATGGCCCCTAGAGGGCCCCAAGAGGGCCCAAGAGGCCTCCAACGCGCCCAAGATGGCCTCCCAGACGCCCAAGATGGCCTCCAAGACGGCCCTGGAGCATTCCAAGCGGGCCCCAAGTCGGCCCATAGAGGCCCCCCAAACGGCTTCCGACGGCTTCAGACGTGCCAGGAACCCACCAAGATGGCCGAAGTTGGCTCGAAGCTGGCCCGAGACGGCCCAAAAAGCCCCAAAGATCGCCCAAAGCTTGCCCAAGAGGCCTCCAAGACGGCCAAGATGACCTTCAAGATGCCCACGTGTTCCCCGAAGGCTTTCCAAACCGATTCGGGGAACACGTGGTCCGATAGCTTGGCAGGTCTGGCCTCAACGTTCGGCCACATAGGCGCTTCCAAAAAGGCAGGGGGCGGCGGTGATTCGCCGTAGGCGTCTTCGATCCGCCGCCCCCTGCTTGCAGGGGTGCACGGCGTGCTGGATGATTCAGGTTTTGGTTTTGGTTTTTTTCTACAAGAACTCCCCAGTGGGCTTCGGCCCGCCCCGCCGGCCGCCCGTAAATTTCCCAAAGTCCATTTGTCAATGCCCAAAAACGGCCGTTTCGCTCGGGACATCCCCAAAAAAACGCGAAGATGGCCCAAGATGGCCTCCAAGTCCGCCCGAGATGGTCCAAGACGGCCTCCACAACGGCCCAAGAGAGTCCAAGACGGCCCTAGACGGCCCAAGAGGCACCCCAGAGGCCTCCCAGACGGCCCAAGAGGCCTCCAAGAGGTCCTCCAGGAGAGTCCGAAGAGGCCAAAATCATTGATTGTCCATTGGTTTTTGAAGGATTTTGGCATTTGCGCCTTTTCGGCTCTCCGACGGCTCAAGACGGCCCACGAAGCCCCCAAGATCGCCCAAGAGGCCCCCAAGAGAGCCCCATGATGGCCCAAGTGGCCTCCAAGATGGCCCCTAGTGGGCCCCAAGAGGGCCCAAGAGGCCTCCAACACGCCCAAGATGGCCTCCCAGACGCCCAAGATGGCCTCCAAGACGGCCCTGGAGCATTCCAAGCGGGCCCCAAGTCGGCCCATAGAGGCCCCCCAAACGGCTTCCGACGGCTTCAGACGTGCCAGGAACCCACCAAGATGGCCGAAGTTGGCTCGAAGCTGGCCCGAGACGGCCCAAAAAGCCCCAAAGATCGCCCAAAGCTTGCCCAAGAGGCCTCCAAGACGGCCAAGATGACCTTCAAGATGCCCACGTGTTCCCCGAAGGCTTTCCAAACCGATTCGGGGAACACGTGGTCCGATAGCTTGGCAGGTCTGGCCTCAACGTTCGGCCACATAGGCGCTTCCAAAAAGGCAGGGGGCGGCGGTGATTCGCCGTAGGCGTCTTCGATGCAGCCCTCCTCCTTCTCATCCTCGTCCTCCTCCTCCCCCCCCGAGTGCGGCGCGTTCGCTTCCTGGGCGTTCCGCTGCTAAGCGACGCTATGCGGTGCCGGGCAACGCTATGAAATATGCGCGATATGACTTGCGATGCAGTGCCATGCGATGTGATGCGATGCGATGCGACGCGGTGCTGCGCGGTGCTATGCGATGCTATGCGAGGCTATGCGATCTGGCACCTCCCACGGGCCCCGCAGCAGCGCGATCGAGGCCCCCAGGGGGGGGGGGGGGCGGGGGGAAGGGCCAGCGCGAGCCCCGGCAGGTGCTCCAGGGGGATGGGGGGGGGCATGAGAGCCCCGAGAGGGCCCGCCGTGGCTCCGAGAAGGCCCCGGCAAGGCTTCGGTTCATATGTGTTTTCCACTGGGCCCCCGTCTCCCGCGGTCGCGACGGCTTCAAGCATGTGCGAGCGCCGCGAGTGCCCAACTATTGCGGTTTCCATGTGCGAAGGCTGCGACGCCCCACAAGGTGTGCCAGACTGGGCGCCAATGGCTCTGGAAGGCTGGCGGCAATCCCAAACGTCTCCAACATACCCGCCGAGAACCGCATTCCCGTGGTTTTCCGACCACCCTGCTGAGACCATGGACCTCTAGTGGTACCCCAACGGGCAGGACAGCGACCACATGTGGACCATTAACGGGACCCCGAATACAGGAGAGGTCGACCACCGTGAACTTTCTGAGGCCATGAAGAGAGCCAATGGGGATATCGCATGCCTGGAACAGATCATGAAAGGCGACCCCGAGTGGATTACCACTCAGCCGATGAAGGTCGCCGCGCCTCCATGGAGAAAGCAGGGCGCCCCCGACGCCGACGAGAGCAAGCCCGAGCGCGACGAGATCAAGCCAGTCGCCGAACAGAGCACCCCCGACGCCAACGAGAGCAAGCCCGAGCGCGACGAGATCAAGCCAGTCGCCGAACAGAGCATCCCCGACGCCGACGGGAGCAAGCCCGAGCGCGGCAAAAGCAACCCAGTCGCCGACCAGAGCATCACCGAGAGCAAGCCCGTCGCCGACGACGGCGAGCCCGCCGAGCCCGTCGCGACCCATGGCGACGATGACATGCACATCGACGAGCTGCGCTACTTCAACTCCGACGAGGAGTCTGGGGCGTTCTGGGATGTCGAGACCCAGAGCTGGACAATAATCATATGTGGCAACCAGCGCCGCGGCTCTGGAGAAAAGCGCCCGTCTGGGCGCTACTGCAGCGGGGTGGGCTGAGGAACCCGAACGCGCAGTGGAACAGCATGAAGGCCCGGGCCGGACGAGAGGGCTGGCTGCCACTTTTCCGCCAGTGATTCCCGCATCGCAGCAGCGTGAGCAGCGGGGGCATTAGCGTTCAGCCCGTGGCTTCATCGCAGCATTAGACCCGCAGCAGAGCATCGTGCAGCGGAGCAACAGCCTCGGCAGGATACAGCGTACCAGCCTCGCCGCTAGGAAGCGCAGACGCAACCTCGGCAATGCGCAGCGCACCGCCGCCAGCCTCGGGAGCGCACTGCTTGAACGAGCTCTTGCATTTTAATTGTTGCGCGTCGGCGCACGTGAACTGCGAACTTGGGTTTCGGCGCGCCTGCGCCATCAGAAACCGTTGCTGAACCTCCGTGCCGCCACACATTCTTCGCCTGGCCTTCATGTCGCCCCCCCCCCCCCCCCCTCAAGCGATCGCCTCGCCAGCGGTGCGCCCGCTTCCGCCCGCTCGCCCTCCATCCCCTGCATTTGTCGCCCTCTGCGCCCCCTGCTTTTAGTTTCACCAGCGGCCTCTGCATTATGAAGCCTTCTCCTTGTTGCCCCCCCCTAGCCCTCGTTCCATGACATCGTCATCATATGAGCCGGATGGGGGTGGGGGGAGGGGGCGCCCTGGGCCATGGCGCTAACTTTCGGACCAGCACCCGCCCGAAGGCATCGAGGCTCGAGTTGACCCAGCATCTCACCATCCTTCACAGCGGCCCCCCCGCTTCCACGGCAATGCCTACGCCCGAGGGCGCGAAGAAGGCCACGGCCAATAATATAGTTGGCGTCAAGGGCTTGACAGAGAGCCCGTGCTGGAATTTACTCAGCCAGCGCTGCCTCAACCCGATGGGCATGTTCAGGGGGGCGTCGGCCGTGACGGGCTGCGCTCATACGCAAGCAGTGGCAGTGATGTGCGCGATCTCATCCACCTTCTTTACCGAACTCAACACCAAGGGAACGTTCTTCCCACCGGGGTTCGGAACCTTTCACAAGAAGGCCAGCCCAGGCAAGCGGAAAGCAACCGCACCAGTTCCAGCCAAAACAGCAATCATCTTCGTCCCGTTCAAGACCATCATCGAAGTGCTTGAGTGTGATGCCATGGACCATGATGGTCCAGGCCTCCAGCTGGCGGTGTCTCCTCACCGGCGCCATCAGCACCAAGTTTCTCGGCGCCAAGGGGCTCAGCAGCGCCAGTGACACCCGTGAACCTAGGCCGCCCCGCAGGAGAGCATGCAGCAGCACCAGGGGTCATCGCAGCACAGGACGGCGCAGGCTCTGACGTCATGGGCGACGGCTCGTCATTGGGGCCGCGCAGGCCCGCCGTGCTCTGCGAGCTGAGCCGCCAGCTGCAGCTGCTGCATGATCAGATTGTTTCGGGCGAGCCCAGCAGCTCAGTGTGCCCTTAGGTCCCAGCAGCTCAGTGCGCCCTTAAGAAGGCACATGGGCAGGTAGCCAGTGGCGACAGCGCGACGTTTCATATTATCGCACCGCTTGCTCGGAGCCCCGTCAGCAGCGTTGCAACTTACACTCTACGCTCGCCAGTCGCACGTTTCGCCCGTGCCGCGCCCAGAAACGTTGTCCTTCTCCCCCCCTGCACCTGCCCCCCCCCCCCCCCACCCCCGCGCACGCGACATTTCAAACGTCGTCGGCCTGACCATTCGTTGAATCTGGGAGATGCGATGGGACCTATGCTTCGGGCCCCAACTTTGACATCAGCTGGTGGGGACCTAACCGAAAACCTAAAACTTCAGATCAGCGAGGACCGCTTAGCGGTAATCCCGTTTAGCGGCAATCCCGCTTGCAAGGCCCCTGAGACCCTCCAAGGCCACGATCGGTTCTCTCCAGGGCGGGTGGTATTGTTTTGCGTTCCCGAGTGGAATCTGCAAGCCAGTCTTTGTGAGGCCCCCACCCAGGATCACCTTTGAGTGCTAGGCTTTCAACCCAGGGCGCCCCCAGGCCTCCAAGGACGAGCCCGCGCGCCTTTGCCTCGTCGTAAAGTTTGCAACCGCTACACGGGTGGATGGCGGATCCGTTTCAAAATGGGGGTCTCGCCCTCAGGAGATATAGCAACAGCAACTACTCCTTCTGATCGCCAAGAGATCTCGCCCCCCCCCCCCTCCCCCCCCCCCCCCCCCCGCGCCCACCAACGCCGCCACCTCCTCCGACAGCCGCCGCCTTGGCCCGAGCAGCGCATTCACCGAACTGCGTAGCGGGATTTTCCGCTAGCGGTACTTTCATTTTTTGTTGTTTTTTTTTTTCGTTTGTTTTTTTTCTCTTCTCTGAGCGCCAGCACTCCCAGCAGTTAGGCAACGACTTCGCTGGCTGCGCTGGCCCATGTCGGACGCGCCCGCGCTGCGTCTCAGGCTGGGCGCGATCGGGGCGGTGCTCCGGGCTGTCCATGGGGCCGATCGGCACCGGGCGTTGTCGAGGGTTCAGTCCAACGCCGTCGTCGCCATGCTGCACCGCGCGTGGGCAAACATCCCACGCGAGGATCAGGCAGCGCTGTCACTTATGATCATCAGTGTGGACTGGTACCAGGGTCACGACGGGCCAATGACGGCTATACTTGGCAGGGATTCATCCGCGGCGTTGAAGCGCGCCCGTCAAGCCCAGCAGAAGTACACAGGCTTCGTCGAGTTCCTCACTGAAGACAAATGGTCCAAATTGATGCCCGATGACGGCGATGCGCCGCCCAGCACCGCTTGACTGCACCTCGTCGTCCAGCGCGTCGTGCGCCTAGGCGGCGTCAACGCGTGCGAGCACGCGACCAAGCAGATGGCTTCGATGTGGCTTCTCATGTGCGATCCTAACGCGCACAAGATGAACGGTTTTCAGTTGAAGGCAAACCATGGCTACGTCAAGAAGGAATACAGGAACATTGCAGGCAAATCCCCGAGGCCCGACACCTACATGGCCACGCTGCCGAGTCTGCCAACTGACCTGGCGCGTTCATACCCGCGGGCCTACGCCAAGGCACGCTGCGCTCGCGCGGGCGACGGGCCCGCGCGGTGCCCCCTGGACATGGCCAAGCTTCGGGGCATTGGCAATGCGCATCGGTGCAGAGGAATGGGGGCCGAGAAGCACGCGGCTCAGCCAATGGGCGGAGGGCCGCAGGGCCCGGGCAATGCGGCAAGCGGCCAGTTGGTGCCATTCGCCCCGAGCGGAGGGCCGCAGGACGACATCGGGCATATTCTTGCCCAGCAGGCCCAGCAGATGCAGCGCGCGCAGACCATGGCCACGACCGCCATGCCCCTCGTGGCGGGAGGGCGCGTCGGAGCGGGGGCGGGCTCAGCAGGTGACGGAATAGCGCAATTCATGGATGCCTCAGAGGTCTTCGGGGGCGCCGCTCGGCCGGGCCGCCGCGGGACCAACGCGGCGCCAGGCCGAAGGATTGCAGGGCCGCATCCAGCGCGCGCCCTCGAGCCAGCTACCGACGTTGCAGCTGCCGTTTCCGCGGGCCCATTGGCCGCAGGTCCACCTGCCGCGGCTCCAGCGGCCGCGGACCCAGCTGCCGCATCGCCGGCCGCAGCTCCAGCTGCCGCTGCCGCAGCTCCAGCAGCCGCCGCGCCCGCTGACTGCGCTGGGGCAGTGGCCTTGGCAGCCCCAGCGAATGCACCGCAAACCCTGGCGCAGAACTTGAAGCGCACGGTGGGTCAGGCCATGGGCACGATGCAGGCGAAGCGCGAAGAGGCCAAGGCGAAATCCAAGGCGAAGAGGGCAATGAAGAAGCCCGCGGCAAAGCCAGCCAAGGCGAAGAAGGACGACGAGGAAGATGGGGGGGCAAAGAAGACGCCGACGCCGGCGAGGGGGGGGAGTCGGCCGACGGCTCAGGTGGCGAGGGTGAAGGTGACGACGAGGACGAAGGCCCACCCGCTACTCCCGCTGCGAAGGGTGCCCGCACGACCAAGGAGGTAACGCTCGCGCATGGGAAGCGCGGCGCGGGCGACACGGCTGCCAAGTTGGGCCCGCCCAAGACAAGGGCCGACAGGGCGACCAAGGCGACCCCGCCCAAGACGAAGGCCAACAAGGCGACCCCGCCCAAGACGAAGGCCGACGAGAAGCTGATCGACATCTCCGACCTGGCAGTCCTGACAAAGAAGACGCTGAACGCCACCGCGCGCGAGCGCTTCGCTTCGAAGGCCTACCACGCGGCGAGGCAGAGGGCGAAGGCCGCTGGCAAGCCGACAGGCGAGATGAAGGAGCTCGGCAGGATGGCTCACGCGGCTTCAGCGGCTAGCTGGGACAAGCTCAAGGGCGGCTGAGCTTTTGATGACGAGTGATCTCGTCGGTGGCAGGCCTCTGTCGCGCATGGGGCCCTGCTAGCCGACGCGCAGAGAAGCGCCGCAGCTCGGGGAAGCGTTGCGTCGCAGCGCTGGTCTGTGCGCACCTGGACAACGCACGCAAACTCGCCGCCCTCATCCTCGCCCGCCCCCCGCCCCATCCGCATCCCCAAGGGCTCCCACGGGGGCGCCAAGTTATTCGCGCTTCGCGTTTCGCGGTCCTCATTCCTCCTCCCCCTCCTCGCCCTCCATATTTGTTTTGTGCCTCTCTCTCTCTCTCTCTCTCTCTCTCTCTCTCTCTCTCTCTCTCTCTCTCTCTCTCTCTCTCTCTCTCTCTCTTTTGGGGGGGGGGCGAGAGCGCGAAGTTATTCGCGCTTCGCGCAGCGCGAAGCGCGAAGTTAAGAGCCCTTGCATCCCCGCATCGAACGGGGCGATTTTCTACGGCGTGGTTTGAACGGCTTGCGCCCCTGAGAGGGTTCGGGGTGCAACATCCCCCGCCTCTTCCGCATCCACTTCGTTGCCGTCGTCGGCATTCCCATGCGTTGCTAGGCGGCCCTGGCAATGGTCTGATAACCGTTATCAGGTGGCCTGGTAATGGTCTAATCATGGTCTGGAAATGGCCTGATAATTCATTGCCAGGCGGTCTGATCACGTCATCAGCCGATGCAGTGCGTTATCAGGCGTGCCCTGATAATGCATTAACGAATTTCTGATAACGCGTTATCAGATGTTGTCTGATAGTGGTCTGATAATGGTCCTGATAATGGTCGGATGATGCATTATCAGGCGGTCTGATAACGTTATCAGCCGATACATTGCCTTATCAGGCGTGCTTTGGTAATGCATTCTCATATTTCTGTTAATGGTCTGATAGCCGTTATCAGGTGGCCCTGATAACTGTCTGATAATGGTCGGATAATGGTCTGCTCATGGTCTGATAACCGTTGCCAGGCGGCCCTGGTAATGGCCCAAGATGCCCTACTACGGCTCCAAGATGGCCTCGACGCGGCCGCAGGGCCAACGGTTGCCCCCGCGGGGGGGGGGCTTGCAAGCCATGTCGGGCCAGCGGCACTCCCGCTTCGGCCCAGGCCCGAACGCATATTCCGTTCGCCACGTCGCCTTTGAGGCTCAAGCGAATTCAGTCAGGACCGCCGTCCCAGATTTTTACTTCGCTCAGCGGCATATCCCGCTCAGCGGCATATTTCGCCAGTCAACGCCCAGCGTGCACTGCCGCCGTCTGCAGCGCGTGATGTCGTGGAACGATAACAACCCTGTGGTCGAGGAGACGCTCGAGGAGACGCTCGAGGCCGCCTTGGAGGCTGGCGGGGTGGCCGCAGAACCCACCGTCGGCGACGCTGCCGCGTCTCCGAGCGCCCCAGGTCCTTGGGCGGAGGAGCCGCAAGGAGGTGGCGAGGCGCCGATGGGGGTGGCCGATGCGGAGGGGCCCCATGGAGGTGGCGAGGCGCCGATGGAGGTGGCCGATGTGGAGGGGCCCCATGGAGGTGGCGAGGCGCCGCCGAGCTTCCCAGGTCTGACGGATGACGGCGACATTTGCGCTATCTGCCAAGTCCCCCTGAGGGGGGATCCCGACGGGGGCGGCGGCCAGGGGCCGGCTCTGCGTGCCATCTTGCCGTGCCTCCACATGTTCCACCAGTGTTGCATCGACGAGACCTGCAGGATCTTGGAAAAGCCAATGGCCACGCTCGCGTGCCCGACCTGCAGGAGGACGCCGCAGGACATTCAGGCCATGGAGGAGAAGATGATCAGCGAGGGGATGGCTCGCAGGGCCGCGGAAGGGGTTGCCGCGCAGGGCTATGGCGGCTCGGGCGGCTCGGTAGCTCCAGATCGACACGATGTTCGGCGCTGCAGTTTCGGAACATGCCCCGAAGGCGCACGGGCAACGTTGCGCTGGCCTGGACAACCCCTGACACCCCCTCCATCCGCCCACCCCCATCACGCCACTAGCGCCCCATGGGTGCGTCGCAGATGCCAGGCGTCATTCGCCATGCCCCTTAATCTGCACAGGCTCATGAGGCCTGTGACTGCTGGGGCGTCTAGCGGGAGGGGGGGGGGGGGGGGGGGGCAGCGCGGGGCTGTGACCATTGCAAGGCTGGCAGCGCCGTGCGCGTCGAGGCCGACCGCCCGATCGAGGCGGCGGCGGCCCCCTCCGCGCCGCGGCGCCGCCGCCTCCACAGCCTCCGCCAGGGCCAGCTCGGCCGCGTCGGGCGAGGCCCTCGGCGGCGAAGAGCAGCGGGGCGCCGCCCCCGAAGGTCGGCGCGATCATGTCCGAGCCCCCGCACGATGGCCCTCCCGCGGTGGCCCCAGCGCCGTCGGGTCCGCCCCCGCAGGCGGCGGCTGCGCCTGAGCCATCGGTCGCCGCGAGCCCCCTGCCAGATACGGCGGCAGAACCTGATGCAGATCCACTGACAGCGCCAGCCCCTTCGAACCCACAGACCCTCGGTCGCGCCCCGAAGTGCGGCCTCTTCCCAGCGCGGCCGAAGCCGACGCAGGCGCCAACGGTGACGGATCCCCCCAGCTTCCTCGAGGATCGCCGCATGCACTGCGGGCACTGCGGCGCCGAGGTGGGGGTCATGGACAAGGTCAGGGTCCGCGACGAGGGGAAGCACGCGCACAGGTGCTCGCGCTGCTCCAGCAAGGTCACGCAGCTGAGCACCGAGCTGGGCGGATGGCCAGCGCCCGAGTTCAGCGCCCTCGACGACGAGAGCAAGAAGGCGTTCTTTGGCGGCATCAGGGACATCACGAACCGAAAGGATGTCGTCGCGCAGTTCCACGAGTACATGAAGGGCTTCGAGGAGCACCACAAGTGGTGCGCAGAAGGAGGAGAATTTGTCGCTGTCGGCGTGGTCAGTCAAAGGCTTCGACACGGGTCGAATCGAGAGCTTGTCGCACCCGTGGGGCATTCAGGACTGCCGCGTCCTCGGGAAGACGCACCTCGCCCCGATGTACTCGGCTGGCACGGCGGGCAAGAAGGGGAAGCTTCGCGAGTGCGCGGGGGAGAACAGCGGCAAGACGCGGAAGGTGGATGGCGCCCCCGAGTCCGAGTCCGAGGCGTCGAGCTCATCGAGCTTCTCGTCGCGCAGCCGCCGCAAGAAGAAGGGCAGGAAGGACAAGAAGGACAAGAAGGGCCACATTAAGGGCAATCAGGACAATGGGGGCCAGGAGCATCCGCAAGGCGAAGGAGCGCGAGAGGGGGGAACAGAAGCTGGAGACCACGGGGAAGAGGGAGGGCGCGAATAACCTGAAGGACGCGACGGCGATGTCGAAAAAGGTTAGGCACATGAAGCACACGCTGCAGGATATCGTGAGCGACGCAGCGTTCCAGGGGATGCCGCAGAGGGTCCGGGAGACCATCGAGGTTGACTACACGAAGATCAGCGAGCTCCACAGCGACGTCAAGAAGGTCATGGACGGTGACCACAACGGCGCCATTCGCCACATCGACAAACATGTAGCTGCCAAGAGCCTGTTGGCAGACATGAAGCGCAAGGCCGGCACGGCCTCGCAGCTCATCCGCCAGGGCAATATGTTTTAGGATGGCTTCGCCGCGGCTCCTGGAGCGTCGAGCGCAAGTGCGACGCGGCCCTTGCAGCTCAGCAGGCCAACCTGTGCTAGGTTGGCATCGCCTAGGCCCCTGCGAGCGGCGTCGCGCGGCGGGCAACGGGGTGTCCCAGCCGTGCTTTGCTTTTGGAGAACCCGACCCGGTCCCCCGCTGGCCTCCCAAGGGCTCCTACGAGGGCGCGAAGTTATTCGCGCTTCGCGCTCCTCATTCCTCCCCCCCCCCTCGCCCTCCTCTTCTCCCCTTTGGGGGCGCGGCGCGAGAGCGCGAAGTTATTCGCGCTTCGCGGGGCGCGAAGCGCGAAGTTAGGGGCCCTCGCCCCCCCAAGGCCCCAAACCGCAGGTCAAGGCCCCCAGGGCGTTCGTCCCATCGGCGCGGCTAGATGTGCAGGAAGAAACGTTTCTTTTTCCCGGGGGAACCTCAGAAGCTTCTTGATTGCCCCCGCGTCAACATCTGACACGCTACCCCATCTCTCCTTTCCCTGTCCATTGCGGCCGTTTTGGCACAATCGTCTCGCACAGTTCACTTTGCACGAACAAGCGCTTGAGAGCTCAATCGTTGTTGCATACAGGGAGCGCGTCAACCAATGGACTTGCCAAGAACTTGTCTAAGTTAGATGTTGGCGCCGCCCCTGGCAGGAAAACGCTGAATGAGGCAAACCACATTAAATTGAAAAAGGTTGCGCGGCATTTTGATCTTGAGCTGGAAAATGAAAACCACCCTTTCAAGTGGGAGATATCAGAACCGTCGCCCCCGCTACAAGCGACGGTCCATGCGTCGGCCGAGCTCCAAGAGCTCTTCGCCCAGACAGCCAATGCCGCTCCGTGCGCCATAGACACACCTTGGAACATCATCATCATCGGGTCCGATGAATTCACGACGGGGGACAAGGAAAAACTTTCGAACCGCGGGAAAACAATGGTGACGTCATTCAATTTCATGGAGGTTGGCCCCACTGCGCTGTGCCACGAGATGACGTGGATGACGTTCGCGCTGTGCCGTGCGCATATCATCAGGAGCGCGGTTGGCGCATGGCCCCGAATGTTTTGGATTTTGCGACACATGCTGATTATTGGTGGCCTGTCGTTTGCGCAGGCGGGCTGCCCATTGATGCTGCATGGCCAAGTCTTTCGTCTTTATGCGAGGGTGAAAATTGCGCTGTCGGGTTTGGATGGATTTCGGATGCGCTACGATTGGGGAGGGGCTTCTGCTCACAAGCCGTGCTTATTCTGTACAAACGCGTGGAAAAAGGAACTTGCCATTGGCACCTGGCGAGGTTGACATCGCGCGCGGAGACGCTGCTCAGTTCAGACCGATGGACAAGGACTATATGATCGTCTTAGTGGCCATTGTGCTTAGAGCAAAGGATCAATTCGACAACGGTGAAATCCGCAATCGGGAGTTT